CCAAGCAAAAATTGGTTTTACTCTCCCAAAAGCCACGCCCTATTCTTCTCGCGATCTCCCAGCCGTTCCCCGCCGAAGTTCCGCGTCGCCATTCTCTTTGCTTCGTGCCGCCGTTCCAGTCGTCGTTCCCGCAACCGTTCCTGTCGCCATTCCCGTCGTCGTTCCCGTCGCAGGACCTAAACCAAGTTCTTCTCTTCGGCTCTCCCTCATTCTTCTTCTGTTCTGCGTTGGTTTGCTGGTGAAGGAAGTATCGCAAAGCACGGGGAAGAAGACTTACGGGCTGTAGGATACGAATCGGTAGAATCGCGAGGTGTGTTCTTCGGTGTATCTCGGTGTAGAGAAAAGAAGATAGAGTGAGAAAGTGAGAGACTTTCTCCTGCAATTATTATTGTGTTCAAACGGTGTAAATTCCTCAATTAGTAAAATCCTCTGCAACTCCGTGGATGTAGGCAATTTGCCGAACCACGTAAATCTGTGTGTTTTTGGTGTGAATTTTCTCGTGCTATATTTATTCGCTTCGTAGTCGATCGTTATAAATTTCAAAATTACCATAACACTCATAGGTCTATGGAAAAACACCATCTCTCTATGCTCCTCTGGTCCTCCTAACAAAAGCTTAGTCCTATGGTGGCTTCAGGTATCTTTCATTTATAAGTTCGAGTCTAATTTTAGTCGGTTTTGTATTGGATCCCTTCAATTTGTTGAGTTTCCGTAGAGTTTAATTTTCACAATTGTAAATATTGTCTTATTGGTTGTCGTTATCTCCTTGCAATTTGATTTTTAGCAATGAAAGTTTAGGGCTATGCCCTGAAAAAAATGTTTGCTCTTATTTTCTCCATGCCATTAGGTGATGTCTTCTGGATTTCTTCTTGAAAGCTTAATTGCACATGAGTGGATGAATAAAGTAGACTAGGTGCTCCAATACGTAGCACATTAATTGAAAACAAAATGAGAAATTTCAAAACGTTGAGTTCTAATACACATCCCAAAAAAACAAAATTATGTAGACTAATATTCTTTAAACACGGGACGTATTGCAAATAGAAGATTAATGTGGATGTCTTCTAGCATCTGATATAACTCAAATAGTAAATCAGCCCCTCTTTGCTTGTTCTAATGTTATAAATACCACTTTTTTTACTCAAACAAACACATTTAAATGCCATTATTGCATGCCAAAGATGAGGGAATGGAAACACAAACGAAGCCGACATTAAGATTCATAGCCAATCACATTTGACAGCAATGAATCACATGGCATCCTCAATGAGTCCACTGAAAGTATCAGTCATTTACTATTTTTTGGGATACATCAAACAACATTAAATTTCATATCACGAAAATATAAAGAAAGTGATATTGACAATCAACTACTTGTTTACCAAAGCCTCTCACACATACCACGTGAGCACGTGCTAAAATTGTGCCTGATTTGTATTGCACTCTACAAAACTTTTTTTACTAGCAAGGCCAAAGAAAGGAGAAAATATTGAGTCCGGACACAACACTCTTTGTGTTCGGACAACAAACGCGATACACTTGGCGAGCTGTTTTTTTTCCAAGAGTCCTGGAGCAAAAATGCATCAGAACTTCGATCACTGTTTGTCACGTGTACAGTCTAACCCCACTATGTATTAAATTATTTAGTTTTTTTTTTACTGAGAGGGCCCGAACTGTACACGTGACAGACAATGATTGGAGTCACTCTCGATGTAATATTTTCTCTACATACATGCCCAGATCTTCGGTAGGTATACTTTTTTGCCACCCAATGCTTATGCTTGTTAACAACTGAACTCTACTTGTTGCATTTATACCACACGAGTATTTCATATCACACCAGAAATTTCACAATTTTAATCATGAAAAGGAGAAATATAATTTTTTATGCATAAAAAAGGTCGCATAAATATAAAAATTGAAGTTTAGGAGTTTGTACGACACAAGAACATGAATTCCGATAAAAAATAATACATTCAGATCTGCTGACTTCCAACAGAGTGATATGAATAGAGAGAAAAAAAAAGAAGATGAAAATTTAAATAATTTCCTAAAAATCATGTTATAATGCAGCAACAAAAATACAACCAACTAAAAAAATGCTCACAACAGGAGCAGCAAACATGGTTAAAAGAATACACAAACCGAGAAGGAAAAATAAATGCCTGCAATTTTGATCTTCAAGATATTCGGAGCAGGACTGATACTCCGCTTCTTTCAGCAAACTAATAAATTGAAGTTTCCACTAACCCTAAGTGTTCCGGTCACACGGCAACAACTGATTCCTGCTCAACAAGATTATCAAAAAATTTTAAGTCTGCCGTCTGTGAAATGAAATTAGTATTTCTAGAAGAGTAAATTAACTGTTAACGCAAGTAGGCATCATGCAGGACAGATGGAATGGAGGATAGTTTGACCGAAAAATAACTGCGTGGATTATGAAGGGCTGTCTGATTATGGATTTAGTTAAATTATGTAAATCTGTATTTACTTAATAATCCAACACCATGATTTAGTAAATCAGGTATTTAAGGAAAGACGGAGAAGAAATTGGGATAAAATTTGATTTACTAAATCCAGTATTTAAAAGTTGCCATTGCCATTTTTTTGTATCTGTTATGATCTTTAAGTTCTTAATTTCTAATGATACAAGCCATAGCTGATTTTGAGATGTCAATTTTAGATCACTTCGCATTTTAAAGTACGAAACATAATAGCAAAAGTAATTTGCAAGTCAACTGACCTGAAAAACATAAATTTTTATTTGTAGTTGGACTCACCTTTGCGGTCAAATTTGACACTGCGAATTGAAATTTCTCTCGAGTTTTGGAACTGGCAACATGACCAACCCTTGCCACCTTACCAAATGCACCATTTAACCAATTTGTTCCAGCCATCACGTACCTGCCAATGAAGTTAGACAAAGAATTCAACAGTATATCCCATTAAGGAAGCTATAGTGCCATGCATAAAGGCATATTGTTAGGATAACAACAATCCAATTAAGTTTCAGAACTCTACAAAATATCATGAAATTTAATTTACATACAAACTTCTACAGAATTTACATAGCACACAATTCTTATATATTTACGTATCTCGCACCTAAACTTTCATATTTATACAAATAGCACTTGAATCTTTGATATCATACTAAAAATAGCATTATTATCACTTTTTAAAAGTGAAATACGCATTTTCATGCATAGGTTTAAAGCACCAAAGTGCTACGTGTTTAAAGCACCAAAGTGCAAAGTGCTACGTATGTAAATAGAAAAGTTTAAGCGTGAGATATGTAAATACATAGTTTTTGTGTGCTAAATATGTAAATTTCCCTTCATTTTTTCTTCACAATTTTTTTAATAAAACTCAGACAATAACTTACTTATAAACACTGCATCCTAGAAGATAAAGTTACGAAAAACAGTAAAATAAATTAAATAAAAAATAATTAAAAAAAGTTATTAAAAACAGCATTCTACTAAAAAAATTTATGTGCCAAAAATGCAGCAGCCAAACATTAAGTGCCGCATCAACTTCAAAACAAAGCAATGAACAAGCTGCCACAAACAGACCCTTAAAAACAATGATTGCAAGAATTTTGAAATATTAGTTACATATCCAGCAAGTATTTTAAAAAACTCAAGAATCAGGAATAACACAAAATCTAATTGATTATGCACACGGACAATTCTAGAAATCTACAGCAAACCGTAGAGCTCATAATCGACCAAATCATCAACTGCAAACCATTTTGAAAAATTTCTTTATAAGCTTCCAAAATTAATAATTGATCAAGCGCCTTTTGCTTCGGTTATAGCAGATTTTAGAAAGAAAGAAGTATAGCTAAAAAACAGTAGTATTAAATAATCAAGGGAAGCACCTATTGGTTTTGACAGCAGTTCCAGTGTCACTCAACTTCTGTTCTGCTACTGTTATGACAGCCATAGTTTTATCAGATACGTGCAGTCTTTGATCCACAGATTTCACTTTTTCATTAACTGTAGTTATTCCGAGTGTGAATTTCTCTGATAGACCAACTCTTCTATCAAAAGAGATCACTCGGGCAGATGCATTGGCTGACAACTGGTGTTTCTCGTCAAAGGCTTTAGCTTTATTTACAGCATCTTGTCTTAATGCAGAGCCCCTTGCCAATATACCTGCTACCACATCATGAGCCTTGTCGACATACACCTTTCTATTACCATGGATACCTGCAGTCTGCAAAGCACTATATCTCTTAAGCTATCAAAATGGTGGAAGGATTTAAGCAACAATCACGATAAAATCTAGAAACATTTTGCAGAAAGTTTAGAGGCACCTCAGTTGGTCTGGGATTTTCAAGTGAAGTTACAGCGTCTTCTATGACTATGACTTGCTGCATGGAGACAGTAAAGAATTAAAATCTGAAAAGAAAAAGAAATAATAAAATGGCGCAGATATCAAAATATAAATTTGCTTACTTCCTGGATCTTGGGAACATAGTAAATTACAGGTTTTATTGTCACCATCTGGTCTACTATTGTAGCACCCTACAGAATAGATGAAAAAACTCGTAAACAAACCAAAAGCCTTGCATATTGATTGAGCAGGAAGTAGGAGTGAATAAAGCTTCCCATTTAAAATTATTATGATCGTCACCATGGGACCAAAAATTTAGGTTGAACACAACGAACCCTTTACCACTTTTCATCACAACAGTTCTTTTGTAAAGCTCATTAAGAAGCATTTATTTAGTTTGCCTAGATGTAATGATTAGTAATTTTAATTTTTTTTTTATATAAGCCGAGCACAAACAAAGCCCTCTTTAATTATGTACAATTCAATATTCTCAACTCTCTCTCTCTCTCTCTCTCTCTCTCACTCTCTCTCTCTCTCTATATATATACATACATATTCACTTCATTTGCAGCCTAGCTATAAACGTGCTTGCAGTCTCAAAAATGCACATTGCAATTTGTTAAAAAAGATAGTCACATCACAAGCATAGCATCCTAACCGATCAACATGCGTTAGCTTGAAACAATGCAAAATCACTCCTCGCCCACAACATGCCATTGATCAGTTAATTGCCTTCTTAAATCAGCATTCGTTTTGCTGCTTTTGCTTTCAGTTTGTTGAATATAGAACAAAAAGGCAGTTCCCAGATACTGGACAAAGAGCGGGATGCCTTTTTTTCTCTGTTCTGCTGTTCACAGTAAACACTTTTGATGTTTAGGCTCTTGCTGTTTCTAATTTCTGTAGTTGTCTCTTATCACCGTGTTTGAAGTTCTACACTGGAAAGCAATCTAAATTGCTGAATTCTCTTCCAGATTTCAGTACCAGCAACTGAGTTCTCTATGTTTATTACTGAATTAAAAAAAAAAAAAGTGCCGTTTGGAGTTCTGATAGATTTCAAAGCAGCAAAAGCATTCTACTTCATTCCCTTTGGCCCAGCAACTTTTTTATTACATGGTTCAGCACTGGACTCGGCCCTCTGGAAACAGAAGAAGCCAGAAACAGTGGAAGTTTCAAGGGCTAGAGTACTCAAACGAGATGCATGCATCAGGCTAACAAAACCAGCTACACCACTTGGATGGCTGCAGTTTTTGAAGTAATGTGGCAGTCCATTGGTGGAGAGGCAATGAGAGAGAAGTAAGAGAACGGATTTGGCAGAAATTTTACTATTTTTATTGCAAGGAAAAATAAGTATATTTATGGGCAATTATAACAAGAGGGGTAGGATGATTAGGATCCATAAACTTATCAATAAAATCTACAAAAAGGGCACCTGATCTGCAAATAATTACATAAATAAGTTTGAACTATATTTTAATTTAAATACAGCTTTTTGTAATGTGAAATTATATCCAGTAGTCCAAGATTTGATCTCTCTAATCTGATGTCCAAGACATCTTCCTCAATCTCAACTGCATGATCTGAGAATCACAACCTTCAACAACTTATTTCAAAAAAATTGGGATGTTGAAAACTCAAGCAAACAAGATCCTATTTTTCCACAATCTAATGCCCAAAATTTAGGCAACCTGACTAATTAGCAATGACGAAAATACTCACATTCACTTGGGCAAACTCCAATGCCACAAATGAAGAAGCCAACTCAAACAGCCAAGGGCCCCTCAGGTGTACCAAAGTTGTCGATTTAACCACCGTGCCTAACAAATCCTCAAAAATCAAAGCAAATGTCCCGAGTACATGAATGATTTTCAGGCTATTTGTTATTACATTATAGTTTATTCATTGTTTGAAGAGAAAAGCATTAAAAATTATTTTAAAACCATGACAGTCCTCCAAATTTGACGTAATTGTACTTATAAAGGGAAAGCACGTGGCCCTGCTAATTACATATCGCAAGACGACATGAGAAATCAGAGACAAAAGAAAGTTTTCAAAGCCATAACAGAACAGCACTAATAAATTATGACAACGTTAGCTCGAATAAAAATAAATAAAAAATTAGGGCTAATAGTTTCCTTGCATCAGAAATCAATAGTCAGAAGGATCATGTAGCGATATTCCAAATAGTATTCATACAAAAAATTTCACATACCCAACAAACCATTTCCCAAAAAAAAAAACTTGGTAACAGAACAAAGAAAAATATATAGCTGATAGATCTTACAAAAACATGAACAATACAAAAGGAAAACTGCTGTAAACAATAATGAACTAAGTGGAGAGCAGTTTAACAACCCCGCACAACACAGCCTATCAAGAAGAAAAAGCAGAGGGCCAGCAAGTACCGACAAAAGAACTGCTATCTCGGCTGCTTTCGATTCCTTGAACGTAACGAATGCAATCCGAGGAACTCCAGCACCGCTCCTTCAAACATGAAAAACCCACCAAAGATTAGTAAGATTAACGGGAAAAAAAATCAATCTACACCAACGAAGAATAAGAACCGAATAACACGAAAGCAATCAAAATCAAAGGCCAATGAGATTATATAACCACCGGATCTCGACGCTCTCGATATCACCGGAAAAAGAGAAGAACTCCCGGATCTCCCTCTCTCCCGCAAGATCCGAAACGTTTCCCACCTGGACCGTCCTCGTCTGCCGGAATGAGCAATTTGTGACCAAAATACCACAAAAAATATTCAACCAGATCAAGATCCAACAGGAAAAAAAAAATCACACGCAATCGCCTCACCGACATTGTTCGCCGAAACTTATCTTCTGTTTCTTCTCCAACTTTCTCAGCTCCCTTCTCCTGCCTTCTCTTTCTCTCTCCTCTCCGACACTTTCGCCATTAAACAACTTGGAGCCCTTTTAAGGAGGGAAAGGACAAAATGAGCCAGTATCGGGTCGAAACTGCCCCTGAAGGTAGCCGGTAATAATCATTCTATGTGAGAGTAAAACGGGGAATATAAATATTTCTGTCCAGTTCAGGTACTCGACCGCCGATTACCGGTATTGAGGGCGAGTTTGGCAGCATATCGTTAGGCTGAGCCACCGGAGCTGGTTTAGGTTAAGAAAATGGAGAGTCCTGGTCCGTCCGATTAGAATTTGAACGGCTCCTATAGCCCTAGGTTCGTTTGCTTTTCGGCGACGCCGTACACCGACATTCCGGGTCTAAGTAGGTTTGCTAAATGCCATTGTTGCCGAGGAGGATTAAAAAATAAATAAAAATTTTTTTCAATCATTTGTTTTTTCCATGGAAGAATTACATATATACCACTTATATCTAACACACCATCTTAACCATGCAAAAACGATATTTTATGTTTTAAAATTTAACATAGTGACATTGTTTATGTAAATGTAAAATGCAAAATGTAAACTTTGCATATCAGAAATATAAATATATGGAAATTGGGGGTATGCATGTAAATGCTCATATTTATAAATAATAAGAATAATTTATGTTACGTCACCAATAAATTTTCATCATTCTGCACGAATCTCGAGACATGACACAGATCTCAAGATGATATTTTGAGCAAGAAAAGTTCAAATCTTTTGTGTTGAACTTTCGTACAACGCTAAGACGATGATTCATTATTCTACCGCCTCGAATTTTCTAGCACTCATCAATTTATAATGTTAATTTTTTAATCATTAAACCACATCGTTCATTTAACAACATCTACAAAAATTATTTATTATGGTTGATTTTAAAAATATTTTTTTTATAAATTTATATAGTTTGGCTAACTCCAATCGATCCTATCATGCCAGTTCCAATCAGCTTGACTGAATCAACTCCAGTTAGTCTTCTCCAATCGACTACATAGAATTAGGGGTATAATTATCATTTTATAATAATTATTCTCTTATAAATAAAAAAATTATTATTTGTAAAAGAAGGGTGTAAAACTTAATATAAGAAGATACTTACGTTATATTCATTAGGTGTGATTTAAAAATATTTTTGAATTCGACATATAGAAAATATTTATATAGGATTTTAATACCTTAATCTGAAGCCAATTCTCAACAATAAAAAATAAATTAGAAAATAAAAATTCTAAACAATAAAATATAAATTTGAAAAATGTCGCGCGGAAATATTATTTATTTTAATTTAATTAAAAAATTCAAACAATTGCGAGATTAGTCTCCTAAAAATAGTCTCATCAGTATAGTATTAATAAGAGCATCCCCCCCAAAAAAATGCATATTTACGAATTATTATTCTGATATTTATAATAAATAAAAATTACTCTGTAAAATGCCAATAAAGCTATTCAAATTCACTATTGTCGATTGGTTGCAACAACTGCCAACGATCACGTTACTGGTCGAACCCATTCTTATCGGACAGACGTTTCACATACTCCTAAATTAGCGAGTCGTTTGTCTACTTATTCAGTCGACCTTCTGAGCTTGCTCGTTTGAATAATGTGCTCCATGTAGATTGACAACACTTTGGGTTTATTGGAGTTGATTCTTCGACACGAATTTTGTCCAGGGCCGGATCTGGTTCAACGCACTTTGATGATACAATAGATGAACACAAGACAGCAAATTCATGCAAATCGTAAAGGGGGAGTCAATAAAATATTTTATTAAGAATATTATATTTTACCTACTCCCTTGTATATTTTTTTTAGATCAGGTTGAATCTCAATCTCTATCACAGAGATTCTCCACCATCACATGCTGATTGGCCAAATAATTTCGCATAAATTTATGAAAACCGGCTTTCTATTAGCATATATACAAAAACATTTTGGACAATTTACGTAAATACCACTCAACTCCCATGTATTTACATATCTAACATCTATCATTCAATTTTTACATATACATCACTTTTTAGAAATTTAGGCGTTATAAATGTAAAAAGAAAAATTTAGATAGGGTGGTATGTATGTAAATGCCCCAAAAATTTTTAAATATATCTTGATCTAAATGGCTATATTGCTGCTGGTCCAGGCAAGAAAAAATAATGCTGTGGGTTCAGTGGAGAACATGGGGCTAGTGCTTTCATTGAATAGTAGGCATTAAATAACTGGGAATTATATGGAAAGAGACAAAACAATGTCAACAAAAATAAATAAATAAATAAATAAATAAATAAATAAAAATGATATTTTTCTTAGCTTTAAAAATATTTGTATTTTTTGCAAATTAACGTATTGCTTATGACCTAAATGATTGGAAGAAAAAAAAAAAAGATAATGATTTTAAATATTACTAATAATTTCTTTAATAATAATTTATAATTTTGATTCATATATACTAATTGATCATCTTTTTATGATTAACTTTCGTATTAGGATATTTTGGAAGTTGTGTTTGACATGTTCTAGCAATATAGATGTCATGATCGTTGTGCTATAATGACGCATGAGTGGTGGGTCACTATTATTGTATGACCATGGAACTAACTCGCTCAAAAGAAGAGCGAGGAGAAAATCTCGTTAATTGGGTTCCAATGAGACTCACCCGGCCGTGCCTTAAGATAATCTCACTAGGACGAGTTCTTGATGGAATTACCGGCAAGCTTAAGGAGGACTCACTGAGCTACTCACCAACATTAGGTTTGGGAGGAATATCGTCATTGCTTAAAGAAGAAGTACCCCGAATTTATTGCTAGAGTCAATGAATCCATTTAATCCAAACAATAGCATACGTGTAAAGAAGCTCTTTGCCCATACTTTAAGGGAGCTCAAAGACTCCCACACATAGCCGATCATTAGTTAGAGTCCAAGTTTATATTTTGGAAAATGGTACTTTATTTGTTACATTATCCTAACTTTATTGCATATACAACTCATAATATCATTTTTTTATTCATTGACCTAGAAAGACCTCAAGTTTATAGGTAAGGGCAACACACACTATGAGATAAATTAAGAAGTAAAAATTATAACAAAATAGTACCCAGATTCATTTCCCACTCCATGAATAGAACAAATCCAATTAGAATCACATCTAAGAGCTTGAACGATGTTCATGCTCAATATAAAATGAATTTATCAAAAACTATCTTCTTCGCCCAAAATGGACTGGAGGCAATTATGTATATTAAAATTGATAACGTGTTTATCGTGACCCTTGATAATATACAACATTTTAGATGTCTACTCTTCCGCCATATAATAACATCAAAATCATGATCTTTTCGACATACTTTTTTTGCTTGTTTTCTCCATTTCATAAGTGGTGAAATTATGTTGGTTACTCTAGTTCATCTTGAGTATCTTGATCAGCTCTCTTACAGTCACTTGCACTATTTACATCTGTTGTTCCACCTCGAAATCGGCTTGTTAACAACCCTCTTTTCCCTAAACTATAAAAAAGTCTCCCTATAAAGTACAATTTTTTTAATAATATATATATATATATAT